ATTCTGTTTAGTGGATTTCGAAAAGATCTTTGAAGCAATCAAAAAGGAGAACATAGAACGAGCACAAATCAACCCTAAATAAACAATGATTGCATTATTATTTGTTTAGTAATAAAATAAATTATTATTTGTTTAGTAATAAAATGAAGGTGGTTCGTATTGGCTTAAACAATATTTTAAAAATATTTGTTTATGTTTAATTATTCTCTGACTATCTAGATGTAATAAAAGGCAAATTATAAAGAAATCAAGTCAAATTCTGATTCTCAGTTACCAGAAAACTAACTTAAGTCAAAGTCGTCAGTATGCCATGTTTGGACGCCGTTTTGGGGCAGTAAGTTCCCTAGTGGGAACATTGGCTTTTTTTTTCAAGAAACACAAATAAATCTAATTTATATTACAAATGTAATATATTGGATGGGATGACCGGGGATTTAGCGGTAGGGGGCTCTATATCTAATATATCAATAAAAACGTTAGAGAACTATTTCTTTATTATTAACTTACAAAGGTATAAAATATAAACTTCATTGATACAGACTGGAAGAGCAGTATTTCATCATCCCAACAGTTGTATTATAACGTGGAATTTGGAAAAATTTTGAAGAGTTATGAATCATTTAATAAACGGCCAGAATAAAATCTCTCATGAAAATCAAACATTAAAGTTTGTAGGTTTTTCATTTCTACCAAAATTCATATTGTGGATTTTTAAGAACACTAAAAACAAATATAACTTGAATTATTATAACAATATTTGACTTACCCTACTTTACTTGAAACAACTTTCGGGTTTGGTAATTCATGGTACATTATAACTTATTTAGTTTTTTTCTTATTCTGATCAAAATTAATAATATTTTTTTTAATTATGAGATTTTTTTTCTCTACTGCATTGGAGTGAAGATCATGATGTAATATCTAATATTCTATACTTTGTCAATGATTTCACCCACTCAATACATTGTTCGTACCAGCTATATAGAAAAAACAATACTGCTCTTATCCATATGAATAACAGATAGTTTTTCTTAGAATAATTCTTCATTGAAAATTAAATAAAGAAGGTTAACGATTCAACTGTGGATCAGGTAATAGTGCCTCGCAGTGGGGCTGAGTACGGAAATCCAATTGCACCAAGCCATTGAATAAATTGAGTACAATAAAGAAACATTTATTCAACTGTTCTGGGCTAAGGCCCTACGATTGTTGTCCTTTTAGTTTAAATATCTTAACAGTAAAGAATTGTCAAAAATGTTTTTAAAAATTATATAAAGAAGAAAATTAAGATCGATTTAAGTTTGATTTTAGATGTATGCGTCCCTCCATAATTATTATGATGAACTTCAACGGTAATTTATTTGATTTTTTTTTACATATTTTCATTGTCAATAACGTTATTTAAATTTTATAAAACATTAATTGGTACCGAAAATTTTTCAAAATAATTATGATTCAAATGTTAAAAATAATTATAAGCAAAGATTGTATTTTATGAAGCATTCAATAATGATTATAAAGACTATATATAATATATATATAAGTTATAATCAGTGGTAAACCTTTATTGTGTTTAATCCTATTTAGATAATGTAATTAAAACAGATAATTACATTTTTTCTAAACTATAACAGTAACTAAATTATTGAAGAGAAGATTGAGCGCCGTGTTCAGTCATAAAATATAAAAATAAATAAATTATATGTATTTATTTAATTATATTTGTTTATTAATTTATTATTATATATTAAGTATATTTATTTAATTATATTTATATATTATTTAATATTTTACCGAACTACCTAACCAATCTTCTGTTTCATTATTCACTACAATCAACCATCAATCAATAATTACTGAATTAATAAAGTCAGTTTTTGTAAGCAGCCAGCCAAGTGTTTCTCATACGTTCGTAAGTTATATGTGTGTGTGTATGTATATATAAATATACAGTATAAAAACTATTTTTTTTTTTTATCTTTCTCATATTCAAAAATACTGACAGTATATTTTGATGCTGTATATTTATATTAATTTAACTAGTATTGACAATACCGTATTCCATATTCAACAGAAGGTTTTTGGTCGCTGAACCAGAACTGAAATATTATGAAAGTAAGGAACAAAAGGACAAAAGACAGATTCAATGTCAGCTGTTCTATAAAACAAAGTAAAAAACATTCCTAGGTTTTCTTAGACCATTTATTTTTCAACAAAAACTTGAATAACAATTTATTCTTTTATTCGAATCTCTTTAATAGACCCAAAAAAATTAGTTAAATTAAAAAAAATAAACATAACAGGCGATGACCACAATAGCTTTACGTCATACAAATAAATAATCATCTAAATTAAATATTGGACATATTTTTTTTTTATCTGTATTGATTGATGAAAAACAAAAAACTAATAATGAATGAATCTTTCATTAAATGTAATTAAATCAATCAAAAAACGTGTTAAAGTTGACTTCTTTATACTCGACTGAACATTTTGATTACATTTTAATTTTATCATGAGTGTGAAATGATGCATGTGTTCCGTGTTCTAAATTGAGTCATTTTGAAGAGCTTGGAAACACGCTTCTGACAGTGCCGCTCCACGGCAGATTGAAAAATCCTTTGTTTATGCAACAATAGAGATCACTCAACTATTTGTGAGTCCTGGGGGTTCTGATGACTATCGGTATAAAGTTACGCCAATGGTTTTATTGTATGGTGCCTCAACTCGTATAAAATCATTCGTATTAATAACAGCTAATGAAAAGAATCTTCATCATGGATTTAACTAACTACTGATCTTCTGCATATATTTTTTTTTAATATACATATATGTATGTAAATAATATATACATAATACATATAAAAATAACAATATATGAACATAGGTATGTCCATAGCATACTGTTATATACCAAAACTATATTTAGTAACTGTTACCGCGAATGTTGCTACAGCGAGGAGGTTTCAAACAATTGAAATCTTCGATATGAATAATGGAATGAAAATTAAAAATGTTTCCAATGAACAATTTTTTTTTCAGATAATTGTGTTAGTATACATAATAATTATATTGCTACCTCACTACCGAAGGTAGGGAAGCATTGTGTTCGTGCGAGAAATTAAAAAAAATTTTTTGCTCAGAATCGAAAATTTTCACTCGCGTTTTACGTTTCAGACATCAAGGATCAAATTTGGTTCGGTGTCTGTCTGTCTGTCTGTCTGTCTGTCTGTCTGTCTGTCTGTCAGTCTGTCTGTCTGTCTGTCTGTAGTCAAATCGATGTGACGGGCATATCACCTAGTACCGTTCATCCAATCTTCATGAAATTTTCAGGGATTATGCTGATTGGTGCCTAGATGGTCCCATATCAATTTTATCAAATTCCATTCAGCACTTCCGCTTACGCACGCGCAAACGTATATTTTTAGATATGCCAATATTTCAGAAAGGGCTCGTTCGATTTGGCTCAAAGTTAGATAAAAGGTAGACTTTGGTGAAAAAATAATGTGGTGTCAATTTCATTGAATTGCGTCGGCTTTTCTCTTATATGTGCACTACTAGTCCGCCGTCCGCCGTCCGCGCATTTTTTCTGAAACTACAAGACCGA